GAATAAAGCTGCTATAAATAATTGTGTTCAAGTTTTGTTATAAATGTGTGTTAATTCTGTAGGGTATATAACTAAGTGGGATTGTTGGGTCAGTGATTCGTTAAATACAGTTACGTCTTTATTAAAACTGTGAAACTTTGCTTGTGACTGTCGTTTTGCATCTACACCAGCAGTGTTTGAGTGCTTCAGTTGCTCCTTATTCTTGTCAGTGCTTGGTGGTGTCCATTTCTTTTATTTTAGAAGTTCAAATAGGTATATTTTGGCTTCTTATCATAACTTTAATTTACATTTCCTCATGGCTAATGATAGCATCTATTCATATGCTTATATGCCATTTTTGGTGAAATTGAATCTTTTGCCCATTTTTTAAAAATTGGGTTATTTTCTTATTGTTATGTTTTAAAAGTTCTTTATATAATCTGCATGCAAGTCCTTTGTCAGATACATAATTTGCAGGTATTTTTTCAGTGTAAATTTTTATTAAGCTCAGTTTACCATTTTTTAACTTTTATGGACTGCACTTTTGGTGTTACACTTGAGAAATCTTCCTCAACCAAGTTTGTGAAGATTTTTTCTTTCTCTTTTTTCCCTAAAAGACATAGTTAATAGGTTTTACTTTCATATTGTAAGATCCATTTTGAATTAAATTTTTATAAGGTATGAGATATAGATCAAGCTTCATTTTTTTTTTTTGCATATGGAAAGCCAGTTATTCAAATACTCTTTGTTGAAAAGAGTGTCTTTTCTCCATTTAGTTGCTTTTGTATCTTCATTACCAGTCAGTTGACTGTATTTATTTGGGTTTATTTCTGGACCGCCTTCTGTTCATGATTGTGTGTCTGTCCCTTTGCCAATACCACACTCTCTTGAATAGTGTACTTTTACATGGTAAGTCCTGAAGTGTAGTGTGTGAAGTTTTCCAACTTTGACCTGGCTATCCAGGCCTCATTTGCCTTCCAGTCTCTTTTTGTCTATTTATGTCAGTATGGATTGACTCATAGATTATTGTTTTATTACATCATGGATTCATGGATTATTATTTTATTTCTATCATTTATTTTGTTGCTCAACTTGTCACAGATTTGACTAGTGGGAGATAAATTCCATCGTTCTTTGAATGCTTTCTTACCTTCTGGCATAACGAGAGATTCCAGGGTCTTCTACTTTCCCTGTCCGAGCCCTAGAATCAACCATTTTTCCAAGGAGTCCTGGTTTCTTTTACTGGAGAGTGGTATTTACAGACCAAGAACTAGGAGCTAAATGTGCTCATTTTTTGCTGGATTGTCATTGCATCAAGACCTTTGCAGTGGACAGAGCTGGGAAATATATGTGTGCATGCATACATGTAGACACACATCTATATATCAAAAACTATGAGTTCTTACTGTTACTGTCATTTCTGTCTAGCACTACGGAATTCTTTCTAGCCTTCCCCTTCTGTATTTGTAACTCTTTCACTCAGCATAGTTATTTTGAGATTCATTCATATTGTGTGCTTAAATGGTTCATTCCTTTTTACTGCTGAGTTTTATTCCATTGAATGGATGTACCACAATCTTTGGAAATTGCCAGAATTTTCCCTCAAAGTGATAGTGCCACTTTACATTCCCACCAGCAGCTTAAGAGAGTTCCATTTTCTCCGTATTATCAGCAAACCATGGGTATTGTTGGTCTTTTTAACTTCATACTTTGTAGTAGATATGTTGTGATATCTCACATGGTTTCAATTTGCCTTTCCCTAATGACTGTTGATTTTGAATATCCATCCATGTGCTTATTTGCTATCCATATACCTTCTTCTTTATTCACCTCTGTTACCCATTTGTTAACAATGGGGTTGTTTCTTATTGTTGCATTTTGAGAGGTCTTCATAATATATTCTGGACACAAGTCTTTATCAGATATGTGGTTTGTAATTATGTTTCTCAGTGTCTGGTTTGGCTCTTCATTTCTTTAGCACTGTCATTTGAAAAGAAGTTCTTTTTTTTTTTTTTCCTCTTTTGGAGGGAGGGATTAGATTTATTTATTTTAATTTTTCTTTTTAATGGCAGTACTGGGGGTTGAACCCGTGCGCTAAGCATGCTCTCTACCACTAAGCTATACCCACCCCCAAGAAGTTCTTACTTTTGATGAAGTCCAGTTTATGAAGTTTTTTCTTTTATGGATTGTGCTTTTGGTGTTATATCTATCTCAGCAGATCTTTCTAAAGCTAAGATCAGAAAGATTTTTCTCATTTTCTTCTAGAACTTTTATAATTTTGGATCTTATGTGTAGTTCAGTCATTAATTTTGAGTAAATTTTTGTATATGATGTGAGGTGTATGGATCTGTAGTAATTTTTAAAATATGAATATCCATTTGTTCTGGCATCATTTGTTGAAAAGGTTATTTTTCTCTGTTGAATTTTGTCTTTGCACCCTTGTGGAAAATCAGTTGATCCTATATGTGTGGTTCTGTTTTTAGACTCAATTCGATTTTATTTCTTTCTCTATATGTTAATAACCACAGTGTCTTGATCTTTATAATTAATTAGTTTTGATTCAGGAAGTATGTCTTCCAACTTTGTTTTTGTCAAAGTTCTTTTGGCTATGTTAGGTACTTTTCATTTTTGCATTAATTTTAGATGTTTATCAATTTGTGCAAAAAAAGTATGCTAGGATTTGTATTGGGATTGTGTTAAGTCTGTGGAGCAATGTGAGTAGAATACTGTCTTAATGATACTGAGTCTTTTGATCCGTACAGATGGTATATCACTTCTTTTACTGAAATGTTTAGTTTCTCTCAAATGTTTTACAGTTTTCAGTGTGTATGTCTTCTCATATCTATCCCTAAGTGGAGTTATTCTTTAGTTTTGATTTTTGATTAATTGCCGGTATATAGAAATTGAATTGATTTTTTTCTTTTACTATTAATCTTGTTTCCTGCAACTTTGCTAAAACTCATTTATCCTAGCAACTTTTTGTAGATTTTGTAGGTTTTCTACACAAATGATCATTTCATTCCAATGTGGATTCCTTTTATTTCTCTCTTGACTTTCGGTTTTTAGATTTTTATTTGAAATACAGCAAGGCTGTATTCCATCTGCGGTCCCTCCTCACACACACATTTGTTGACTACTTTTAGATTATGTAGCCTTAACATTGTTCTAAAAGTCAGAGCCATAGAAGATGTGTCTCAAAGGAGTCACTCCCCTCCTTTTTGTCATATTCCTGGCTCCCCATCTCTATACTCTGTTCCCACACAGCTTATAAATTCAACCTTTAACCTTGCTTAATTCATAATGTTCATACTTTGAGTCTTTCCCTCCTCTCATTCCATCATTTTTCTTCAAAGTAGATGCCCCACAAATTTTACCAAAAGTGTAGAAGTTCTTCATAAAACTTAGAACACAGTAACAGACAACATTAAAGATCTGGCAATTTGATAAAAGGAATTCATGAACCAGGCTTCATGAATTTTCTAAAAGTATGTTTATATTGGGTGTGTGTATTTATGAATTTCTTTTTCTGGAGCTAGATTCCATAACTTTCATCATGTTTCAGAAAAGTTTATTTAAATAAAAAAAGATAAGGTAAGAATGCCTTTAGAATGAATGAGTTTGGGTCTGACCAGTATAAAGGCTGGTTAGTGGGCCTCTTGTCTTCTGAATCTTTTCTACCTTTTGAAGATAACGTTTTAATTATCCCTTGTAATATGTGACTTCTTTTTGTGGTTAATCTAATTATATGTGTCAACTCAGCACCTGGCACTTGTAAACCTTTTGACTGCTGTTTTGTATCACAGCATCTTAAGGGTTTGAATGCAATTCAGAAATTTCCTCCTAGGTTAAATCTTTTAAAATGGTCTTTATTAAACCTGTTAAAGAATCTTTGGATTCCTGCTGTGTCAAGTCACTAAAAGATTACTCCAGCAGTA